TATTTATATCCATATATATATATATATATATATATATATATATATATATATATATAGTTTTTTTTTTTTTTTTTTTTTTAATATATAGACAGTTTAAGTCTGAAATACTCACCCCCCTTTGATTTTTTTTCTTTTTTTAATATTTCCTAAATGATGTTGAGCAGATTCAGGAAATGTTCACAGTGTGTCTGATAATATTTTTTTCTTCTGGAGAAAGTCTGATTTGTTTTATTTCGGCTAGAATAAAAGCAGTTTTAAATTTTTTAAACACCATTTTAAGCTCAATATTATTACCCCCTTTAAGCTACATATATTTTTTGATAGTCTACAGAACAAACCATCGTTATACAGTAACTTGCCTAATTACCCTAACCTGCCTAGTTACCCTAATTACCCTAATTACCCTAGTGAAGCCTTTACATGTCACTTTAAGCTGTATAGAAGTGTCTATATAAGAATATCTAGTCTAATATTATTTACTGTCATCATGACAGAGAGAAAATAAATCAGTTATTAGAGATGAGTTATTAACACTATCATATTTAGAAATGTGTTGAAAACAATCTCAAAGTTAAACAGAAATTAGGGGAAATAAAACGGGTTAATCTTTGAATCTTCCCATTCTTTCTTCGTGTTGAACATTAGCTTTGATTGGGGAGGTTCTTTAGTTTCCCCTGGTCTGAATCTACTAAATATCCATGGCCCATTAAATCTCCCCATGCATTACAATGTAGATCATTGTTTCCCCCACAGTCCAAACACATGCACAATAGGGGAATTGATGAACTAAACTGGCCGTAGTGTATAAGTGTGTGTGTGTGTGTGTGTGTGTGTGTGTGTATGAGTGTGTATGGGTGTTTCCCAGTACTAAGTTGGGGCTGGAAGGGCATTCGCTGCATAAAACATTTGCTGGAATAGTTGGCAGTTCCTTCCACAGTGGCAACCCCTGATTATTAAAGGGACTAAGCTAAAGGAAAATAAATGAATAAACCCTGAAGACAGAAAACCTGACTCTGCGCTCCAGGAATACAGTATAAAGCAGGGGTGCCCGAACTCAGTCCTGGAGGGCTGGTGTCCTGCATAGTTTAGCTCCAACTTACTTCTGCAAACCTGTCTGGAGGTTTGTAGTATAGCTAAAAAAGAGCTTGATTAGCTAGTTCAGGTGTGTTTAAATGGGGTTGGAATTAATCTATGCAGGACACCGTCCCACCAGGACCGAGTTTGGGCACCCCTGATATACAGTGAGATCAGAGAGACAACAGAGCATCCGAGCTACACAATCCAATACAAGAGCATCTAATCTCATGCACGGGACTTTCCCACTGATAAATCCTATTAACATTAAACTGTGGAAAACAGGAGCGTCGGGGGAGCAGAGCTTCATTAACACACAGCGTCAACACACTTCTGTGGAGCAGGACTTTATTAATTTCACTTTCTAAGAACAGAATATTGTAAATTACACAGCAAAACATGCTTTTTAATTAGAGTTTTAGTCTTGTTTTTAGTCCAAATATCTGAAGATTGTTAAATATTGAAGAATTTTCTAGACAAGTAAAAAATATTGACCTGTTTTCAGAAATAAAACTTTACTCAGAAAAGACATATTATGTTTGTAATGGGCGTTGCTTGTAATGCATCACCCACAACACTGGTTGTGTGTGTGTGTGTGTGTGTGTGTGTGTGTGTGTGTGTGTGTGTGTGTGTGTGTGTGTGTGTGTGTGTGTGTGTGTGTGTTTGTGTGTGCATGTGTGTGCATGTGCGTGTGTGGTTGCTGAACTCACGGTTGTGAATGCGCAGTCTCGTAGCGCTCGAAGGCGTGCGTCAGGTCGTGTTTGTTGTTCATGTAACACTGAGTGCACAGGTCATAGTCGAAGCACACCTTACACTTCCAGCGCATTCCCATAATGCCGTGCTTCTTACAGCTGTCACAAATGATGTTTGAGTGGCGGACCCCTGAGAAGAACAAGACAATGAACAGATATTTCAGGAAATGAAAACTACTAAAACTACTGGTCAAGTATCACCTTTATTAACTGTAATAAACAATGAATCAACACTCTTTGAATCTTCTCATTCTTTCTTTCTTCAGGTTGAACTTTAGCTCTGATTGGGGAGGTTCTTTAGTTTCCCCTGTTCTGAATCTACTAAATATCCACCATTAAACCTCCCAATGCAATAAAATGGAAATAATATTACTGTTGCATTTACAACAAAACAGGTTATGATGATGAACCTTAAAGTTTGTTAAACAGTCATATTATTCAGGTTAGGTCAGAATTATTAGCCCTCCTGTTAAATTACTTCATATTTTTTTCCTTATTTCTGTTTAACAGTAAGAAGATTGTTTTAACACATTTCTGCACATAATAGTTTTAATAATGCATTTCAGATAACTAATTTATTTTCTCTTCATCATGATGACAGCACATAATATTAGACTAGATATTCTTCAAGACACTAGTGTTCAGCTTACAGTGGCATGTAAAGGCTTCACTAGGGTAATTAGGGTAAAGTTAGGGTAATTAGGCAAGTCATTGTATAACAGTGGTTTGTTCTGGAGACAATCCAACACTGATATTGCTGAAGAGACTGATAATATTGACCATAAAATGGCTTTAAAACAATTAAGAACTGCTTTCATTCTACCTGAAATAAAACAAATCAGACTTTCTCCAGAAGAACAAATATTAGAGGAGATACTGAGAACAATTTGAAAGTGAAAGTGATGAAGTAGCACACAGTATTTCTAAGCTATTTAGATACAACACTTCCTCTTGGATACTGGTATTACCAGTGTTGTCACATCTCAGATAACCTGTGGGAAAATGTAATAACCGTCACAAGCCTCATCAGGTTTGTGTTTACTGTGGGTGTTATAATGTACAGCATCGCTATTATTAGAGTAGTAGTAAACACACAACCTGATCTGATGCAGGAGACGGTGATAAACAAAGTAGGGTTTTTTCTTTTTGTACGTGTTTTTACCATTTTTAGCACACTGAGTGTTGTTAGAGCCTGGTGTGATCACAGATGAACCACTGAAGATACACTGAATGTTTTGACAATGTCCTCTGGACTTTGTTCTCTATGGAGGATAAGGGAGCTCTCGCAGATCATCTAATATATCTTCATTTGTTTCCTAAAGATGAACGAAGGTCTCAGGGGATTGATAGACACTACGGTGATCAACTCTTTACCTGTTAACTCTGCTACCATCAATCAACTCTGCTATTGTCAATCAATTCTGCTTCCGTCAACTCTGCTACCGTCAACTCTGCTATCGTCAATCAACTCTGTTACCGTCAATCAACTCTGTTACCGTCAACTCTGCTACCGTCAACTCTGCTATCGTCAATCAACTCAGCTACCGTCAATTCTGCTACCGTCAACTCAGCTACCGTCAATTCTGCTACCGTCAACTCTGCTATCGTCAATCAACGCTGCTATCGTCAATCAACTTTGTCACCGTTAATCAACTCTGCTACCGTCAATCAACTCTGCTACCGTCAATTCTGCTACCGTCAATCAACTCTGCTACCGTCAATCAACTCTGCTACCGTCAACTCTGCTACCGTCAACTCTGCTATCGTCAATCAACTTTGTCACCGTTAATTAACTCTGTTAACGTCAACTCTGCTACCGTCAACTCTGCTATCGTCAATCAACTTTGTCACCGTTAATCAACTCTGCTACCGTCAATCAACTCTGCTACCGTCAACTCTGCTACCGTCAACTCTGCTACCGTCAATCAACTTTGTCACCGTTAATTAACTCTGTTAACGTCAACTCTGCTACCGTCAACTCTGCTATCGTCAATCAACTTTGTCACCGTTAATCAACTCTGCTACCGTCAATCAACTCTGCTACCGTCAACTCTGCTACCGTCAACTCTGCTACCGTCAATCAACTTTGTCACCGTTAATTAACTCTGTTAACGTCAACTCTGCTACCGTCAACTCTGCTATCGTCAATCAACTTTGTCACCGTTAATCAACTCTGCTACCGTCAATCAACTTTGTCACCGTTAATCAACTCTGCTACCGTCAATCAACTCTGCTACCGTCAACTCTGCTACCGTCAACTCTGCTATCGTCAATCAACTCTACTACCGTCAATCAACTTTGTCACCGTTAATTAACTCTGTTACCGTCAACTCTGCTACCGTCAATCAACTCTGCTACCGTCAATCAACTTTGTCACCGTTAATTAACTCTGTTAACGTCAACTCTGCTACCGTCAACTCTGCTATCGTCAATCAACTCTACTACCGTCAACTCTGCTATCGTCAATCAACTCTGCTACCGTCAATCAACGCTGCTATCGTCAATCAACTCTGCTACCGTCAACTCTGCTACCGTCAACTCTGCTACCGTCAATCAACTCTGCTAACTACGTTTTCGTCAACTACGTTTTCGTCGACTACATTATTGTTACGTCAACTCTGTTACCTTCAACTCCGTTACCATCAACTCCAATACAGTCAACTCTGCTTTCGTCAATTCTGCTATCGTTGACTCTGCTGGCATCAACTCTGTTACCGTAACCACTTGTTATCATTAACCGCTTGTTATATTAGCTCTGCTATCTTCAACTCTGCTATCGTCAACTCTGCTACCGTCAACGCAGCTACCGTCAACTCTGCTACCGTCAACTCTGCTACCGTTAACTCAGTTAACGTCAACTCTGCTACCATCAATGACATCAACTCTGTTATTGTCAACTATGTTACCGTCAACTATGTTATTGTCAACTCTGCTATTGAGAACTCTGCTGTCGTCAACTCTGTTATGGTATAAAAAGTTTACCAATAAGTAAAACAGCAACTAGCAACAGAATCGAATGTCCCCACTGTAATGACACGTTTGCTCTGACCTATCTGAGCGTTGTCGTACAGCAGCAGGTCGAAGGCTCCCTGGTACCCGCTGCGGTAGTTGGTTCGAGTCCCGCTGTCCACTGCACACCACCGTCTGTCGG